GCGGCAAAGCGTGGCGCACCACCGACGCCGCCCTCGCCCCCGAAGTCCGCGTCCTTGCCTTGCTCTGCGCGCGACACCCGCGGAGGTCAGTGTATTGACGGGCGGACGGGCGGATAGGGAAGCGGGGCTGAAGGGGGAGGAGGGGGAGGGGGGGGGGGTCTATCCGAGCCGCCTGGGTCGTCGATCGAGAGCTGCACCGCCCCCTGCACCGCCCCCGCCCCCGCCCCCGACTCGGCCTGCGGTGTCGGCGAAGAGCTCAAGGAAACGTCCCTCCCTATCCGCGTGGCGCCTAATCCGCCGCCTCGGCTGCCGGCCGCTCGGCCTCCGCCGCCGCCGCCGCCGCCGCCGCCGCGTCGGCTGCCGCCCGCCCGGCCGCCGCCGCCGCCGCCGCCTTCTGGACTGCGTCTACCGCCGCCGTTCGGGGCGCACCTACAAGGACGTCTTCTGTCGTGGCGGAACGGGGCGCGCGCGTGTTGGCGGCGAGTTCGCTCGCACCGTGCGTGCTGAGTGTAAGAGTGGAGAGGTCGTCCTCGAGCCGGTAAGCCTCGAACTGCTCCGCGACGCCCTCGCTGCCAGCGTGGGGAGGGGGGGGGGGGGGGATGGGGGAAAGGGGGGGGGGGGGGCATCCACGGAAGCCCCCCCCTTAAAGCCCCCTCCCGTTCCGCCAGGACCATTTCCTCCGGGAGCCCTCGGCCTCCGCACCGTTTGGGAAGGAACCCCCTGGGGCTCAAATTCCAGGGTTACCCCCGGGGGGGGGGGGGGGGGGAACCCCCCCCCCCCCGAAAGGGGGTGGATATTTTCCAAAACCCGCCCCCCCCTCGGGGGGGGGAAACCCCCCCCCCCCCCAAATTTTTGGGGGTTAAGCCCCCCTTTTTTTTTTTGGAGGGCCCCCTTTCCCTCTTTTTTCCCCGGGGCCAAAGGGTTTTTTTTCAAACCAAATTTTGGGGGGTTTTTCAAACCCCCCTACCCCCAAAAAAAGGGGGGGGACCCCTCTTTTTCCCTCCCCAAAATGGGGAAATTTTTTCCGGGGAAGGGGGCCCACGCCCCCCCCAAAAAAATTATAAAAGGGTCCCCTATTTTGTCCCCCCCCCCCCCCCCCCCCCAAAAAACCCCCCCCGGTTCCCCGGGGGGGGGGGCAACCCTCACCCCCGTAGTAGTGCTGCATATCATCCAAATCCAGCGCCAGCCTCGGCGGGAGGAAGCGCCTCACCACCGCGAGCTTGCGCGGGTCGAGCGCCTCCTTTGCCTTGTCGAGCGCCGCCTTCGCCTCGCTGTCCTCCGGCGCCGAGTGCTCGTCTTCCAAGCCGAGCTCGTGCGGCGTTCCGGACACGCCGTACCGCCAAAAAGAGCGGCGGCACGCCTCGATCTCCCCTCCGCAAGCGGGGCAGGCTGTGCCGGGGCAGGCGGCCGACGCGCCACGCAGCACGATGTAGCAGTGGTCGAGCATTGTGCAGCCGCACGCCGCCTCGCGCCAGAGCACCCACCCGGGCTCACCGGGCGGAGGCACCATCGAGCGAAGCAGCAGCAGGCCAAAGAGCACCTCGCCACCGGCCGGCTCGACCGAGTCGGGGTCGTAGGGCGGGTTTCCGACCACCTGGAGCGGCGTGCCGTCTGCCGCCATCCCGTCCATGGTCAAGCCGCAGACGGCACAGTACGGCGCCCGCTCGTGGAGAGGGGAGGGCGCGACCAGAGGGAGCAGGCCGAGCGTCCGCGCGACGCGGTTGAGCAGGACCACGAGCGGGAAGTCGTCCGGCTGGGCCGGAGCCGCACTCGCCGTGCGACTCTCGAACTCGCGAACTCGCGAACTCAGGGCCGTGAGGCCGCTCGCCGAGAGCATCTCGCGCGCGAGTTTGCGCTCAACCGGCGGGCACTCATTCTCCAGCAGGGCGTCGCGCAGCTGGGCGAGGAGAGGTGGGTTGGCGCAAACGCGCGACCACGCGTCGGACGCCGCGAGCGCGCCCGCGGCCTCTCGCCCAAACTCGGCGAGGCGATGGAGGGCCTCGGACTGCATTTGTGTCGCCCGCTGTATTTCTTCTACACAGTGAGAGAAGAAACCTGTGTTGACTAGAAACCTGCGATCCCCGCAAAATGTTTTCACAGCGGGCGTGATTCACACCGAGGCATGATTGAAGCATAGGCTGACAAGAGGATACAAACATGCACATACGTCCTCGGCCAATCGGATGTGAGATTAGGTGAGATGTGAGATGCAGATGAGGCGAGATCCGAGATGAGGCGAGATGAGGCGAGATGAGGCGGGGTTAGGCGAGATGAGGCGAGATGAGGGGAGATTAGGCGAGATGAAGCGGGATGGAGCGAGCGCCGAGAGTGGCCTAGAAAAAGAAATGAGCGGCATTTTTCTGTTCATTTTGAACTCTCGCGGATGCACATGCCATGCAACGTACACGTAGTGGCTCGTGCGACAGTCCACATCTCGTGGGCGCCAGCGGCGGGGCCCGCCCTGACAGCAGCTCTCACATCACAGGGCCATGCCCCGCTCTCACTCTCTCAGACAGTGTGACATTGCAAAATCGTCCTCGCTCCTACGAGGCAGCAGCTTGCTGCGGCGGGACCCGCTGGTCGCCGAAGCGCTGGCCCACGCGCTCGTGGGCCTGGATATTGTGCACCATGAAGCCCATCGCGCCCAGCTGCAACTGCGGGGCGCAGGCACGGCACTCAGCCAGAAGAGCTGCGCGGACAGGGGACGCGTGGCGGCATTGACACCTGGCGCGTGTGCTCGGGGAAGGGGGCGTCGGCGGCGGCAGCCGGCAGGTGGAAGGTGGACTTCTCCGCCGCCGCGCGATTGGGGCTCCCCGGCTCTCCAGCCGCCCTCTTCTGCGGCAGTCAATGAGCACTGGGCTCAGGCGTGCAGTGCGTGATCCGCCGAGGGCTAGCTCCCACTATCGCACGGCACTATTGCTACCCGCCTGGAGTGGGCTGCCCTTCTCCGCCGCCTTCTCCGCGCTGTGTCCGATGCCGCCCGCCGTGGTCGACATCCTGCTGCAGAGAACGGGCGCGGCGCCAGCCAGCAGGCGCGCCGCCTCCTGCAGCTGGGAGGCGTCCTCCGTCGCGCAACTCAGATTGCCCGCCTCGACGCGGATGAAAGGGTGAAAGGAGACAACCTGCTGCGCGCGCAGCGGAGAGGATTCGCTGCAAAGGGAGATGGAGACGCTCTTGCGCTCGGCCGGCTCCGTCTGGAGGAGCTGCGCAGAGGAGCGTCGCGGTGAGAAGTGAGCACAGAGAGAAGTGTGCTGCCGGCGCGTGGAGAGGTCGCACACACCTCCTCGACTGTGTCGACCACGATGGCGCCAGCCTCAGACATGTGCAAATTTGCGCCGCCCAAGCTGACGGTGCGGACCAGATGGTGGTAGCAGTTGCCGTTCACCTCGAAGCTCCATTTTCCGTGCGGGAGGGGGAAGTGGTGCTGTTTGATGAAGAACACGTCGCCGACGGACATGCCTGGCAGGCGAGGGAGGGAAAATCAGAGGCAGAGGAGGCACTCGGGAGAGTCAGAGGCGGAGAAGGGAGCCCAGCTGAGAGGCCGAGGGGGCTAGGGGTGGTGCGGGCGTGTTGAGCTAGGGACGCTAACCGTTAGTGACGAGGTGCGCGATCGCGTCCTCAAACTGCTGCGCGTCGACGACGTCTGGCAGCGTGCGGCCATAGTAGAGCTCAGCCTGCGCGGGGGGAGGAGGTGAGAGAGACGGTGCGCCTGTGAGAAGGTTCCGAGAAGATTCCGATGAGGGGTGGAGGGGAGAGATGTGAGCGAGCCTGGCGCACGCGGTCGAAGAGCGGAGCGGCCCAGTTCAAAGTGAGCCGCTCGTTTACGCACTGGATGATTGTCGCAATCGAGGCGCGGCGCAGCCGCTGCGTCTTCTCGGCGTCATCGTAGAGAGCGAGCGTGACTTCGTCCTGCACGCAGATAAAGCGACGCGCGAAGGCCCAGAGACCCTGCACAAAATGTGGGAGGGGCTTTGGAGGGGGGGAGGGGGGGTAGGAGAGGGGGGGCAGCCTCGCCTGATCGCGCTCGGGCAGCAGCGAAAGGAGCTCGCGGACCGGCTGGTCCATGCCGTCCGGCTCACGATCGAGCAGCTGGTAGACGACGGCACGGGCGATGGCCGCGCACACCGCATCTGAGGGTGGCTGCGAGGCGTGCGGCTCGAAAGTCTGCGGGAACAAGCTCGGGTAGTCGGAACACCGCAGAAACGCCTCGTAGAAGGGGTCTGCCGGAACCTCGGTTCTCTGCGCCACTGCTTCTCGGATCTCAGCGCGGCGCGCCCTTCGCGCCACCTCCTCCTCCCGCCGCCTCACCGCCTACGGGGCGACGCGTCGCCCCCTCCCCCCTCCCGCCTCTCCGCCCCGCCGCCGCTCTCTCCCCTCGCCACGCTCGCCTCCGCCGCCGCCCAGCGCAGCGCGTCCGCGACGTCGGTCGGCAGCTCCCCCGCCTGCGCCTCCTGCCAGCCGGGCCGCGCGAGCAGCAGCGCGACGCAACCGCACGCAAGGTGGAAGCGGCGGTGCGGCCACACCCCGCCGGCCGAGCCCTGCAGCGCGCGGACGAGCTCGTCGACCAACGCGCCGGCGACCTCCCCGCCGCCGCGCGCCGCCGCCTCGACTGCCGCCTCCACGGCGGCCGTCCCGGCCGCGAGCGCCGCCTATGCGCCGGGCGAAGCGACTTCTCGAGGGCCGATCGGGCGTCGCGGTCGGGCGGCGGCGCAGCCTTCTGCTCCGCGGCGAGGGCGCGCTGCAGGCCAGACATACTCGCCTCCATCGCCCGGCACTCGCGCACATCCATCTCGGCCTTCTTCCGAACCTCATCCGGCACCCCGTCCGGCAGCGCGCCGCCCGCGCCGAGGAGGGCGGTCGCGGCCGCGACCGAGACGGACGGCGTGGCGGCGCCCTCGGCGAGCAGCCGCCGCACCTCCTCCATCTGCTCCTCCGAGGCTGAGCGTTCGAAGTGCCAGTGTGTCTCCATCGCCATGTACGCAGCGGTCAGCGCCCTCGACGCCTAAGGAGCGGTGACGCTGGAGCTCCTCGCCGCCGTCATCGCCGTCACCGCCGCTGGCGCCCGGGTCGGCCTCCACCTCGAACGCGGTCTGCAGGCCCGGCTCGTCCGCCTCCGCCCAGCGGCCCTTGGCAGCGTCCCACACCTTTGGCCCGAGATCACCCGAGATCACCCGAGATCACCCGAGATTACCCGAGAGTGGGCCCTGGCAGCGTCCCACACCTTTGGCCGCCCGCCCCTGTCGTTTGGCGCGCGGCCCCTCGGCCGCGCGTGCGGGAGCCTGCCCGACGGGAGCCTGCCCGCGGCCGCCGTCTCCTCCATCTCCATCTCCGAGTCAACGTCCTGCGAGGGTGTGTGTGTGTGTGCGTGTGTGTGTGTGTGTGTGTGTGTGCGTGCGTGCGTGTGTGTGTGTGTGTGTGTGTGTGTGTGTGTGTGTGTGTGTGTGTGTGTGTGTGTGTGTGTGTGTGTGTGTGTGTGTGTGTGTGTGTGTGTGTGTGTGTTGTGAGTGTGTGTGTTGTGTGTGTGTGTGTGTGTGTGCGCGCGCGCGTGAGTGTGTGTGTGTTGTGAGTGTGTGTGTGCGCTGTGTGTGTGTGTGTGTGTGTGTGTGTGCGCGCGCGCGCGCGTGAGTGTGTGTGTGTTGTGAGTGTGTGTGTGCGCTGTGTGTGTGTGTGTGTGTGTGTGTGTGTGTGTGTGTGTGTGTGTGTGTGTGTGTGTGTGTGTGAGCGGTCTCGTTTCCCCCAGCGATGGCTACATCCTCAGGCCGGCCCTTGCCTCCTCTCTCGCCGCAGCCGCCTCCCTCGCCGCCTCCCTCGCCGCCTCCCTCGCCGCCTCCCTCGCCGCCTCCCTCGCCGCCGCCCTCGCCGCCGCCGCCGCCGCCGCCGCCGCCCTCGCCGCCGCCTCCGTCTCCGCCGCCGCCCTCGCCGCCCCTGCCCACTCTTCGCCGCGGACCGCCCGCCACACCGCCTCGGCAGCAGCCACGTCGTTCGGAGGCATCTTACAGAGGGCCGCGTTGCACACCGCCTCCACCGTCTGCTCGGAAGAGGAAGCGTGAGGGCGGGGGACGGCGTTACTTGGGGGCGCCCCCGCCGCGCCTGCTGGTCTGCGCCCACCAGGTTTTCGCGCCGCGACCTGTTCTTCCACCACGTGGCAACCTGGTCCTCGCGGACATGCAGCTGCTCCGCCAGCCTCTGCCGGACGTCCGCAAGCAGGCGATGATTCAAGGAAAAGGTCTCGCCGCACACGGCGCGCAGCGAGAGCCTAAGGAGGGCGACGTCGGGGCCCGAAGGCCTCCACTGGTTGGGACCGCCCGAGGCGCCGCCGCTGCTGCCGGCCCCGCCGCTGCTGCCGCCGGCGCCGGCGAGGGGGGGCCGCGCAGCGGCAAGGCGCGCCGTCCTTAGGCTCTCTTTGGACTGCCCGCGGTTCTCAAATGGGGCGCCGCACTGTTTGCACGCTCTCGCGCAGTTCCCGTTGCCTTGGCCACAGTGGCGACAGGTCTTGCATCTGTGCTGCGCGGATGCACGACCTCTGTGCGGCGGTGGCGCGGAGGCAGCGGCCTGTTGCGCCGGCGGCGCCAGCTGCAGCGGCGCGCCGCCCAGGCACAGCCTCAGCGCCTCGGCCGCCGGGTGCAGGCACTGGTCGAGGCAGCTCGCGGGCGCTCCAAGCGGGCCAGGCGGCGGCCGCGCGGAGCTGCCACCGCCCAGCATCCTTGCAGCAAGGAAGTCGAAAGACTGGCCCGACAGCTCCGGCCCCAGCGGCACGACGACGCGAGGCCGCTTGTTAGAGGACATGGCATTGCGTTTTCTTTTTTTGCCGTGTCGTTCTCGATCGTTCGTCTGGAAAAGTTTGGCGGCCGAAAGAAGAAAAATTGCCGGCCGACACACCGCGACTCACTCACGCCTCCTCGAGGGAGCGAGTATGGACCCGCATGCGGCCCTCGAGGGCCTCAAGGCTGCCGGCCGCGAGTCCATCGGCGTGCTCGACCAGGCCGAGGCGTGGTCGTACCTCGCCAGCCGCCCCGGCTACCTCGATCTGCTGCGCGCGTCCCTCGCGACGGGAAGCAGCGCGAGCGGGGGACACATCGCGTCCCTGCTGCCCCTCTTGTCGGGCGACAGTTTCGCCGGGCTCGTGGCGGAGGTGAACAATTTCCGGGAGCGCACGGACGGGGCGGCTGCGGCTTCCGCCGACGACCTGCCCCTCGTGGCCCTGCTCGGCCAAGTCGTGGCGCAGCTCAGCCTGCGTCCGGACGTTTACGTCGACAGCCCGCTCCTCGAGAGCGCGCGCGCGCCCACCTGTGTGGTCTGCGGCCTGTCCATGACCGGCGTCGCGGGGAACGGCACTCCTCTCCCTGTGCTCTGCGCTCAGCCCTACGACCACACCGCCTCCGAGCCGGCCGAGGGCGAGGAGCTCTTCGGCCTCCTGCTCCTCCGCTCGATGGTGCCTCCGCTCGACGAGGTTGGCTGGGTGCTGTGGCGCGAGGCGGCGTGCGGCTGCACGATCCTCGACCACTGCTACGTCAAGCTGCACGGCGCGCGGGCCTCCTTCCGCGGCCGCGAGCCGCTCTGCCCCAAGTGCGGAAAAGCGATTGAGCCCATCAAGCGGTCGTTCTGGCGGCACGGCTTCTCGGGCACGCCGCACGAGCTCGACCACACCGAGCCCGAGGGGGTGTGGGACGAGGACGAGGTGCAGCAAGAGCTGGACCCGCGCGATCTCGACGTGGTGGAGCGGCTCCTCCCTCGGAGCACCCGGGAGTACCTGCACGATTTGGAGGACGCGTGTGGAGGCGAGCCTCCCCGCCGAGGAGAGACCTGGCGACGCTTCTCAACTGACCCCTTCGGCCCGTGCTCGCAGACGACGACCCGCCGGACGCGGCCGTGGGGGCGTTGCTGGAGGGGATGCGGGAACGGCATCTGCTCCACCGCCGCGCGCACTCCCACGATCCACATGCGGGCGGCACCCCCCCCTCCCCCCTGCAGCGCACGGTGCGCACTCCAACACCCCCCCCCACCCCCCACCCCGCGCGCCTCCCCTCCTGCAGCGAGGAGCTCGTGGTGACGGAGTTCGGGATGGCCGTCACCGGGCTCGCGCTCAACGCGTGGGGTGCGAGGGGACACCCTTTCGCTGGGCGGCGACCCGGGGCGCTCGACGCGTCGGGATGCTTCTCGTAGGCGAGCCAGCACGCGCGGCGGCGCGGGCGGCGCACATGGCGAGGGTGGCGCACGCGAAACAGGCGGCGCACGCGGCGGCGAGCCAGTCGCAAAATCGCAACGCTTTGCTCACTTATCCTCACCGGTCGACACAGGCGGCGACGGAGGAGGCGGCGAGGGCGGCGGCGGCGGCGGCGGCGGCGGCGACGGCTTCCGCGTCGAGTGACGTGGTGCGGCGGGCGATAGCTGCGGAACTCGAGGAGAGCGCAGCGGAAGTCGAGGCTCCCGTCGTGCCCACCCTCGTGAAGTCGCACGGGGATCCAGGCGCCCGCCGCACCCTTCCCCGGGCCCTCAAGCTCCCCAACCCCGCCACCCCTCCCCCTACCCTCCCCTTCCCCGTCCGTACACCGACCCACGAGGCTGTCCCGCGCAGCGCCAGCCGAGGAGGTCGCGGAGCCCGCCGTGGTGAGCGCGACGTGCGGCGAGTCCGCAAGGCGCGCGAGGAGCGCGGGCGACCCAGCCTCACGCGTCCCCGAGCCTCACGCGCCCCGCCCTCCCCTCTGAACCGCAGCGAGGGCGGCGACCTTGCGCGGCTCGCGCCGGGCGCGCAGGGTGACGGCCGTGGGTGCAGGAGAGAGCACGCCCCCCCCCCCCCCCCCCTTTAACCCGGGGGCCTCCCCTCATAGGGGCGCCCGAGGGAACGAAACCGCGTCACGAAATGATGGAGGAGGCGCTGGCCCGGCGGGACCAGGCGACCCCGGCGGTGAGGGCGGCCCAAGCGGTCGTGTGGCAGGAGGCTCTCAGAGCCGCGGGGGCGGAGACACTGGAGGAAAAGGACGCGGCGGAGGCGGCCAAGGGGAGGGCGGAGGGGGCGCTGGCGGAGGCGCGGCGGGCGGAGGCGGAGGCAGACAGCCGGGCGGCGCGGACGGCGCTCGAGGCGCGGCCGGAGAAGAGCTCTCCGGGAGACAACCTGCTGCGGCACGTTGCGCGCGGGCGGCCCGGCAACGCCCTCGTCCTCGGCTCTGCATCGGCTGTCTCGGCCGCGTCGACTTCCCTCGCCCCCGCCGGCGCCACTGGAGAAGGAGCGGCGGCAGAGGACGGCGACATGGCGGTGCGGCGGCTGGAGACGGTCTTCAGCGCGGCTGCAGGCAAAGAGGGTGTCGGCACAGCAGCGGCGGCAGCGGCCCCGACGGCCGACTAGGACGTATGCGTGTGCCATGTCCCGCTCGTGGTCTGTGCACTGTGGACGCGCCCGCGAGAGTTCCATTCTGGTGCGCATACCGTCTACTTGTGAGCTGTGTCCTGTGACCTCGCACTTGGAGCACTTGCAGCGCGGTCATCGACCTCACATCCAGGGCCACCGAATCCGCTTTTGGGCGCGTTGGGGGGCACGTGCTTATAAACTAAGCCACGCACCTCGCGCGCGTTCTGGCTTCTGGCTGCGTAGAGCCGTACGGGTACCCCGACCCCTCAAGGTCAAGCTCAACCGAGACGCGAGAGGCGTCCTAATACGAGATGCAAAAAGATCCCTCACATCAACATCGTGCAGGGCGGGGACACATGTCCCTAAATCCCATCTCGTCTCAGAGTTTGACCGTTATTTATTTATTTATTTAGATGCGAAAACGCAATCGGATATGTCTACTCTCGTCAACAATAAGGGGGGCGAGGCGGACACAGGTCACAGCATGTTACAGTCGTGTCGGCCCCCCGCCCCTCTCACTCTACTCTCACACTGTTGCCATTGTGCGAGAAACAAAGGACGAAAAATGTGAGTGAATTCACACAACTCATAACCAAAAACTTTGGCGAGCCAACGCAGCTCTTTAAACCTAGTCCTACCCATGCGGCAAAGCATCGTGTGGCGTGTCAACGCCTAGCCCGCGCAGCGCGAACTCGCCGTCTGAGCCTAGCGCAGCGCGACGAACTCGCCGTCTGAGCCTAGCGCAGCTCAGACTCGTGAGTCTGTCGGTAAGCGCAGGGTTAGCGTGGGTTTCACCGGGTTAAAAGCCACACACTAACACACCCGGCAAGGGTCAGGTCGGGTCAGAACGGGTTACCATAACCCGACGCTAACCCGGCGCTAACCCGGCACTAACCCGTCCTAACGTAGAGCTCGCGTGTAGTCGTGTCGGACCACTGCGTCGCTCCCTTCATCACCTGGCGGTGGATGGTAGTTGCGGTCGTTCGTGTGATGCCGCGCACGTGCGCCCACGCAGCTGGACAGAGACGCTTCCCAGCAACCTTGTAGTCGATGCTCGTGACTGCGCCGTTGTCGGCCACCACTGCACCAGCACGGGCAAGATCAAACCAGGCCGCCACAGCGGCGTGGTTCCGAGTGCACTTGGTCCAGTCTGGTGAGTCCGCAGCGGCCTCGGACCCAAAGGATTCGCGCGCGCACTCTTTGGCCTCCGCCAGGCAGATCCGGTCGAGGCAGCGATCACCAAAGGGACACTCCCCAGTCCCAGAGAGAGGTTGCGAGCAGACGGTGCGAGCGGCAAAGAGGGAGCCATTGTTGAGCTGCTCCATGTGCTGCTCGAGATGCGCGGCCCATGATTGACGGCACCCCACACCGCCGCTGCGGTCGTATGTCCCTCGCCCGCCGCCGCGAGCCACTGGAGGAGGGCGAGCGAGGTGGAGTGGTGCGGGCCGTGCTGCGGGTGCGGGTGGCGGCAGAGCAGCGTAGGTGATGGTCTGGTTGGTGAGAGGGGTTGCATTCAGCACCTCCACCGAAAGCATCGGGGGGTCGTGCGGTGCCTTTTCTGGCATCAGGCTCACACGCGGAACTTCGCTCGCACGTGACCCTGTGATGCCCTGGACTGACGTCGGTGGGTCAGGCTGCAGCACCACGAGCTTGTCGGTAGAGCGGAAGGAAGCGGGCCGAGTCCAGTTCATCATGTCGATGGTCAGCATCGGTGCCGCCGCCGCCGACCCTGCTGGCGGCCGCAGCTCAACGCTCTCGCCCATCGCTTGCATTTGGTTGCTGCGAGAGGCTTGCGCGCGGAGAGTGTGATCGTCGGTCGAGCCCGCGTCTAGGGCCGACGAGGAGATGGAGCCACGGCCGAGCATCGCGAGGAAGGCAGCCAGGAGCATACGGAGTGTATCCAGCGCGACGTGCAGTTGCACAACACACAAACTCCCGCGTAGCTTTTGCCGCTCTCCGAGGGTCTAACAACTACATTTTTCGCCAAGTAGCTAGAACTCCAGTTCCGTCAGCCGGGCATTGAAAATCTCTATGTGGCGGCGGTTTATCTTGGAAACTTCCAATTTTTAACTACTAAAAAGTGGAAGCAACGTTGCTTCCACTTTTTTAGTAGTTAAAAACCTGAAACCAGGCATTGAAAGTCTCTCTGTGTCTGTCTCTGTGTGTGCATGTGTGTGTGTGTGTGTGTGTGTGTGTGTGTGTGTGTGTTAGGGTGGGGGGTGGGGGGGGGGGGAAATACAGTGGGTTGCGGGCATTAAGAAAACAGGATTGCGCGGCACGCCGCCGTTTCTAAGCCTTTCCACACCCCTCACCCACCCCACGCCGTGGTTTCTTAACTTCGGCCGGGGCACTCAATCAAGGTAGGTCAAAGGTCAGAGCCGGCCCCGGATAGTCGGAAGAGGTGAGCTGCGGTCCCGGATCCGATGCCGCCAGCCAGTCTGCCACCGACTCAAGACGCACACGCCTCCATCCACACCGCTCACTCAGAACACCGCAGACTTGCAAAATGCCAAGTGCGCGCGCCGCGCAGGCGAAGAGAAATTTTCATTTGACGAGCTGGGAGCTCCCGTTCACACTCGTGTCTGGCCTTTTCTCGGAGCCGCGCCTGCGGCGCGCCGTGGTTTCTTAGAATTTTGCAGAAATCGCTCGGCGTGGTTTCTTAATGCGACGCTTTCTTAATGCCCGCAACCCACTGTACCTCATTGGTCGGTGCGCGCTGGCACTGAGTGTGTACGACAAAAACGAAAAAAAATCATTTTTGACGCTTCGGTGCGCATTTTTGACGCTTCGGTGCGCATTTTTGACGCTCCGGTGCGCATTTTTGACGCTCCGGTGCGCATTTTTGACGCTCCGGCGCGCATTTTTGACGCTTCAGCGGCAGGTGGTTTTGCCCAGCCTTACGGCTCATCGCGCGCCCATGTCCGAGCCACCACCCGCTGCCGCTGGCCGCGAGGGAGGAGGCTCTGGCCGTTCGGATTACGCCTACGAGTACGACTACCCGCTCGACGCCCTGGTCGATGCCGCCGAGTCCGTCGCCCGCGACGAGAGTGCTCCAGCAGGGGCTCCACCACCATGTGGATCGCGTGGCAATCCCCACCACCACAGCAGCCCACACACACAGACCCATGCGAGGCAGCGCAAACACGTGCGCCCGTGTACTCCCGGCCACACACACACAGACAGAAGGAAAGACCCAAAAGAAAGAAAGTGAAAGAAAGAAAACGGAAAGACCAAGGGGGGATGGGAGGACCCGGCTAAGAGAAAACTTCAAAAAAGTTTCTTTTCTTCCTGTGTTAGTGCCAGTGCGCGCCAGTCCCGTGCCCAGTGTCGTGCGGGGGCGGGCGTGGAAAATTCTTTTCTTCGCGATGTCCGCCTCGCCGCGCCGCGGGCGCCTCGCCGCCACCACCACCACCGCCGCTCCGTCGCCAAGCCCGCCGCCGCCCGCTCGCCTCCTCGACCTCCCCACGGAGCTCATCGTGCGCGCCCTCTCTCGCTGCGACCCCGCCGACATCGCTCGCGTCGCGGCCGTCTCGCTGCTCTTCCACACTTCGCTCGCGGCGGAGGGCATCCGCTTGTGGGCGCAAGAGCGCGGCTTCGAGCTGCCGGCGCAGCCCGAGGGCGAGGGCTGCGCCGTGCGGTGGCTGTGCTACTCGGCGCTGCTGCGCGAGTCCAACCCGCCGGCGAGGGCAGTGGCAGGCTCTCGGCACAGCGTCTTCATCGACGGCGAGGGGCAGCTCTCGTCGTGCGGCTCCCCGCTGTCCTACTCTCCAGGGCTGCTCGGCCACGGCGAGGGCGTGACGCGGCTCAACACGCCGAC